ATAGGATCGCGCCCCCCCCCCCCCCCCCCCTTTGCTCCGTCCCCCGAGGACGCGTGGTCAAAGATCTAACCGCTAAGGCACGCAAAACACGAGAACGCCCCCCCCCGCCCCCCTTAAAGTCGCTGAACCCCCCTGTCATCCATAGGCGATGCAGTCGATCGTGCTGCTGTCCAGCGCGCGGCGGTCCCTCTCACGCCACTACTTTCAACCATGTGATCATCCCCCCCGCTCCCCCTTTGAAATCGCTGAACCCCCTGGTATCCGCAGGCAATGCAGTCGATCGTGCTGCTGTCCAGCGTGAGGCGGTCCCTCTTCTCCAAGGAAACGGACAGAGGGGCCTACCTCCAGCAGCTCATGAACTTTATCCGAGAGATCTTGCAGACCAACCAGGGACTGCACCACCCGGATAATTACCACCAGTTCTGCCGCCAGCTGGGGAGGCTCAAGGCTAACTATCAGGTTAGGAATTCAACAACTTGCTGCAGCAGTCTGTGCGACTATTTTTTTCTTCTGAACGCCTTCGCGCTCAGTGTTGCTCTCTTTCTTGAGTTGGAATGTTGGCGGCGAGGAGACGCAAGACTTGCCTTCCTTGCATGACACCTGTTTTCGCGGCAGACACGGCGCTGAACTACTTACTTGTAGACGGTAGATATCAGGACGCGCGCCCCTATAGAGTGTGCGTGTTTGTGTGTGTGTGTGTTTTTTTGGTGGGTGGCGTCTTTATGAGGGACCCACCCGCTAGCAGGCGACCGCCGCTCCGCGTGCGTTGTTGCGCTCGCGTGTGCTCCTGAACCCACGCGTGGTATTTTGGTCCTAGTTTTTCGTGCTTTGGTGTTGCTGTGCTTTTGGGCGGTATCACCGGTTCTGCCGTCAAGCAGAGGTGGAAATTCGCAAGGTTGACTACATAAGTGATCCCTGGACAAGGCCGGTGAAATATCGTGTTTATACATACATCTTGCCCAGATTTCCTTTTGTAAGCCCCAACTTTTGCGCCCCCCCTCCCCCCCTCCTCTACCTTCTCTACCCTTCAACCCGTTTTTTGTCACCGCCTACCATGCCGTGCCAACACTTTCGCCTTGGCCATCGCTTACAACGCATCCCCAAAAAAGTTATCGGAGCTAGTTCGAGTAGAGGGGTACCTGGAGTGGGTTGAGCTGGCGGCAGACTTTACGGTTCGGTCCCTCAAGGAGTGGCAGTGGTCGACCAACAGCATCCACTACCTGCTGGCGCTGTGGGGACGGCTCGTGGCGGCGGTGCCCTACGTCCGGGCGGATGCGGGCGCGAAGAGCCACACCGAGACTTTGCAGGTAAGCGAGAAGGAACGGACGGACGGACGGACGTCGTGGATGCCGGTGCATCATCATGCGTACCACCTGTGTACGTGAACTCGTCCGTGGTGCGTGTGTGCATGTATGTGCGGTTTATTTTCCGGGGCGTGTCATGCGTTCGGGGGGTTCATCCGGAAAGAGTGTAGTGGTGTAAAACGCATGCCGTGTGGTCGTTAGACCATTGACGTCGCTCGCATCCCTGCAATGCCGGACGGAGTGATATGCCGGCTTTTCGCCGGTTCACCCGGGGGGCTGGTTCCTTGATTTTGACGGTTTCACTTTCTTGTCAAGGAACCAGCCACACGTAGCAGTTCCATACCCGTTCGTTGCGTCTTTGTCCCGCGGGGCGCTTCTCTCCGCCCCCCCCTCCCCCCCCCCTCCCCCGCCCCCGTTCATCTCTCTCCGTGCCCTCTCCGGTCCCCCCCCCTCCGCACCTGTCTGTTTCTGCCTGTCTTAGAGTACACTAATTTTGTCCTCCACGTTTTTGTGTTTTGACAGTGGGGGTCCCTGTTTAGTGCCGGTATGTGCCTAGAAGATTCACCAGCACTATACCGGGACCGGCGCTATTCAAAGTACTGGCAATGACTTGGAAAATTCTGTGTGTGCCCGCCGAAAACACGGGCACTACACCGGGCATCGGCACTATTGAACCGGCACTAAACAGGGATCCCCACTGTATTTCTATTTTTTCGTGTCTCGTAATGTGTCTTATTTTTATCCTCCCCTTCTTCCTTCTCCACGTTTGTGTCGTGATTTGTCATTTTTTTTGTTTTATTGCAGGAGTGTGTCGTGAGGGTGGTCCAGGCGTACGTGACGAGCATGGTGGGGTCGGTAGACGTGATCGTGCTCGATCCCTCGACGGACGACCCGCTCGAAGACGGTAAGAGGAGAGTAGAGGAGATGAGAGGAGATGAGAGGAAGGGGGAGGGGAGGAAAAGAGGGGGAAGGAGAGGAAAGGAAGGGGGGAGGGGAGGAGTAGGGGAGAGGAGAATAGAGACAGAGGAAAACGCCAAGAGGCGAGAACGAGGCTAACGATAAACCCCAGATTTTCTTTTTTTTTCCAGTTTTGAGCGATTCTTAGGAGCATGCTGTAGCTCGAAAATTGCAAAGTAAACTTCGTGTTTCTTTGTCGTGTGTGTTTGGTTTTTCAAGAGAGAGCTTTCGTGAGAAACCCATGTTAGTTGGTTGGGGGGAGAGGACCGCTGCTCCCCTGTCCAGTGTTGGCATTTGCTGTAGAAGGACGGGGGGGTGGTGGTCAACAACAAGTCTTGTCTATGGGGCCCCGGTTCTGCCAGAGTGGCTTAAAGGAATGAGACTAGGCTGGGCGCACGGAACAAAGTGACATGAGTACTAACCCTAAGAAGGTTGAGTGCAATGAGGGTGTAGCGGGTGAGTCGTGGTAAAGCTTAACAACACGTGTGGGTGTACTGTATAGGTGTGCTACCGGTGCGTTTAGCTGGCTTTGTGGCGTGATCGTGCCGAAGACTGTCTGCATGTGCTGGGTGGAGATCTGCCGCTCCAGCAGCGAACACTACCACCATTGCCGCTTCTGCTGCTGCTGCTGCTGCTGCTGCTGCTGCTGTTGCGGTTGCTTGTTGTTGCTGCTGGTGCCGTGTTGTGGCTCGTCGTGAGCTTTATAACGGTGTATCGCATGGTCTCGAAACACAACCTCTCCTCTCGTAGTACTGCTTTCGTTAGGTAACAACTGTCATGTGCTGCACGAACCATCAAACAAGATGTGGTACAGCGCTTCCAAACGCTTGCGGGAGGCGTGATCATCAAGTTCTTTTTTAGTTATTGCTGATGTCCCCTGTGTCTGTCTGTCTGTCTGTCTGTCTGTCTGTCTGTCTGTTTGTCTGTCAGAGGGCTCACTAAAGGAGCAGATGGAGCGACTACCTGTCATCTGCCGTTTCCAGTACACATCCGTGGCTGAGTTTGTACTGAACATCATCGACCCCGTCCTGGCTAACTACCAGTCCGCGGTTGGGCAGCAGGCATACGCACAAACCAACGGAGCCGTGAGTGTACTGTGTGCGCACTTTCTCTAGGAGAGAGGCCGCTGATATTCAATGTTGCGAGAGGCAAATGTAGGTGGTTCAGGTTCTGAACGTGTGTCATCTTCAAAATCTCCTCTCTCTCTCTCTCTCTCTCTCTCTCTCTCTCTCTCTCTCTCTCTCTCTCTCTCTCTCTCTCTCTCTCTCTCTCTCTCTCCCACCCGTTTTGCTGGCTCTTTCTTGTACTTGTGGTGTTGCTGCTGCTGCGGTTGTTGTTGTTGTTGTTGTTGTTGTTTCAGAAGCGTGTTTCGTGTGTTACCTGCCTGAGTTGACCCTTGTAGCGATGTGCTATAATGCCTTCGTGCGTACTAACTACAAGCGCGTGTATGCGTGTGTTGCTTTTTCATGCTCTTCCTCGACCGCATGCGCGCATGTGTTTGCGTTATTTGTTTTTCCCTGAAAGGGAACTGACCACAATGACAACCAAAAGAAGCAAACGCCATTTATCATTTTCCAGGCCCACGGGCAGCAGCAGTCGGTGCTGGAGGGGAAGCTGACCTGGCTGGTGTACATGATCGGAGCAATGGTGGGAGGCTACAGCTGGAGCGATGCGTCGGCCTCTGATGGGGAGGAGACGATCGATGCGTCGTTGGCAAGGAGGGTCTTCCAACTCGCCCAGGGGCTGGACGCCAGACTCTCGAGGTATGCATACGTTGCGCGTTGGACCAAGAGCAGTTGTAGCGCGGGTTAGGGTACCGTATACGACATGACACAAGATAACACACCCCCTCGACCAATTTCCAAAGCCCGATTAGTCCACGACGAGGAGGATGCATAAACGAAACGATACGTTTTCGGAGAGCTCTCGACCAGACGGCTTCAACGCCCCCGTTTTCGGCGCCGTGACTCTTTCTGCTGTTGATAAACCGAGCTTTGACAATCAGTCCAAGGGGTGTGTCATCTTGTGTTATGTCGTATACGGTAGGGTTGCGTTGGAAAATGTACCGTAAGTTTGCGAGTCAGCGCACAGGGGTGCGAGCGATTTTCAAAGCGTAATTTCTCCACAACCAGGAGGTTACCACTGTCGACAAGGGCGGTTTCGGAAATATCTCATCGAGAGCTTTCCCGAGAAATATCAGTTGGCGCTCGCACCCTTCTGGTATGTGGAGAAATTGCGCTTTGAAAATCGATCGCACCCCTGTGCGCTGACTCGCAAGTTTACGGTTTTCGTCAGCAATTGTGGCCTGTTGTTGTAGCAGTGGCACAAGAAAAACGCCAACAGCAGTGAGTTTGTGTTGTGGTGTGTGCTGGATGTTGCCATGGTGTTTGGCGTGTTTTGGTTTGGGCGGTAGGAGGAAAGGGGGGTTAGGCTTAGGCTGGCGGAAGGGTTAAGGTTCTGGTTGAAGGGTCGTGCCGTTACGTGGGGGGGCACCACCGCGTGATCCCCCCCCCCTCCCTCAAGATGACGTGTGCATGCCGGTAGAGCGTGGGAGGGTAGCATGCACTAAATTACTGGCCCGCTCACAAGAAACAAGAAACATCCTCACAAGTCGAGATTCATTTTTTTTTCCCCGGAAGTACGGATCCAACTGACGCACTGAGCATACGTGGGGAACTGAAGTACGAGGAGGTTCGTGGTGGTGGTCCCAAACCAACCAAGGGACCGATCGAACGGTTGCGTGTATGGGTAGGCAGCAATGTTTCGCCGAAACTGTGATGGGCATATACTGACTGGATGCAGCTTGGCAGGGGGGAGGGTCTCTTCTCAGCAGCAGCCAAAAAGAGCGCCGCCTGAGTGGTTGGAGGTGTATCTCGAATAATCAGTTGTGACCGAGGAGGAGGAGGAGGAGGAGGAGGAGATGGGACGAACTCGAACGCCGTCGGCGGTGTGCTCTGTTGGAGTTGATCGCCAGAGGGACGTTGAGAGTTGATCTCATGACATGCCACCCCAGTCATACCTGTGATTGTTAGCCGATGGCTACAGGTGATCGCTAGATTGGTACCAGCTGTTTGTCAATCTGAAGAAGTTGTAGATGTGCAGTGGGTGTGAGCGGTGGGACTACCGCTGCTCTGCTGTGCTCTGGACCTGATAACTTTTTGATCTAACCTCCCCCCCCCCCGTTTTTTTTGCGGGGCCTCTCGTTTGTGTTTCGATGTTCTGCTGTGTCTTGTCATTCTTGTTCTCTGTGTGTTGATGGTTCTACAGTTCGGGTGGGCGGCTTAAGTGCGAGCCTCGATTGGAGATCGCGATCCTCTTTTTTTTCCAGGTGGGTGTTTTCTTATTATTTTTTCTTAATATTCCACAACGAATCCATCTCTATCCATCAAAAGAGAGTCGTGAGATAGATTATAATAGCAATGAATCCATAGTTGTGTCAGCGGAAGCTGCCTATATTTCCACGATTTCCCGGTTTATTTTGCTTTTACTCAAGACATATTTTCATCGCCGGTGCTGTTGCTGCTACTGCTGCTGTTGCTGTTGTTGGGGTTGTCGGCCTGGGTACAACCATGCTTGTGCGATGGTGAGCCCATGCGAGAACCAACAACACACATCTGCCCGCCGTTCCCCCGCAATTTTTTCCGGGCGCGAAACGGCAGGTATTCCGCCGCATGTATATGTGGGAGCAGCACGGCATGTCCGCGGCGGCGGCGCTCACGGGGATAATGATGGGGAGCGGGATGCCGAAGCAGGACTACGCGCCGACCCTCAAGCAGAAGGTCTTCGCGAGATTTTTCGACCACATCGGGATGGGGGACCACGCCGCCATCATTAACGTCATCGTCACCAAGGTGTGCTCATGATCTCATGATACCCGGAAGCGCCCTCAGCCATGCACTCACGCGTAGCTAGTAGCGTTTTGTTTTTGTGTGTTAGTTTATGTTGTCAACTTCGTCGCATCTAGACGTTGTTGTTGGCGTCAATTTCAATGCTGTCGTCGTCATCTCCCTCGCCCCCCTCGCCCGTCTCTTCTCCGTTGGTCCTGAACCTCTCTTTTTGTTTTGTTCCGTCTGTACACGTCGTCGTCGTCGTCGTCGTCGCGGTTGCTGCTGCTGCTGCTGCTGCTGCTGCTGTTGCTGCCACGCCACGTTCCTATCCGTCCGTGTCTCCTGCTTGCTTCTGAACCTCTTTTTTTCCTTTTTGAAACGTCGTCATGTTCGCTGCTGCTTGCTTCTGAACCTCTCTTTTTTTCCTTTTTGAAACGTCGTCATGTTCGCTGCTGCTTGCTTCTGAACCTCTCTTTTTTTCCTTTGTGAAACGTCGTCATGTTCGCTGCTGCTTGCTTCTGAACCTCGCTCTTTTCCGTCCGAAAACGTCATCGTTGCTGGTGCCGCCTGTCTGTGTGCCCGCTCCCCCTGTGTTCAGATCGGGAACAACCTCAAGTACTGGCCCGATGACCACGAGGTGGTCTCGAAGACCTTGCAGCTGTTTCTCGACATGGCCTCCGGCTACAGCTCAAGCAAGATGCTGCTTGGCCTGGACACGGTCAAGTTTCTCATGCGCAACCACACGGAGGAGTTCTTCCCTTTCCTGGTGGGGGTTCGCAGATGGCCGGCGGGGGGGATGGGGGGGAGGGTACTCGTGTTGTGCATGCCCTAGCTTCTAGACCATTGGCCACGTGTCCTGCCCTATGGGGGGACGTGTTGGATTGCGGGGATTTGTGTAGTGAAGTGGAGCCGGAAGACGACTGGAGGTTTGGTGGAAGTGTTTTGACAACGCGGGAAAATTGGTGGAAGTATTCCCACCTCGGTTTCCAGTGCGAATGGGCGTAAAGTATCGTCACCTATTAGTACTCATAGCATTGGCGAACTACCTGTGTTTTGACGTTCTCCGAGCAGTACATATAGCGACGTCTCCCCTGTGCTTAACAGCCTCGGCAGGACAGTCTGGCGGCGATCTTTGTGTATCTGACCACTAGTATGTCTTACCGTACTTGACCTACGATAACACACCCCCTGGACCGATTTTCAAAGCTCGATTTTTCATCAGCAGCAACAGTCGTAGCGCCGAAAACAGCGGGGCGTTGAAGCCGTCTGGTTGAGAGCTCTCTGAAAAACGTATCGTTTCGTTTATGCATCCTCTTCGTCCTGGAGTAATCGAACTTCGAAAATCGTTCCAGGGGGTGTGTTATCTTGTGTCATGTACGGTATACAGTAGAGGTCCCTCTCTAGTGCCGGCATGTGTTCAGAAAATTTACCGTCACTATTAACAAGAGAGATATTAATTTTAGTACAGGAGTCGACGCTTGTGCCCAGGGATTGACCGCCGCTATACCGGGCACCAGCACTATTAAATCGGCACTCAACAGGGACCTATACGTTTGTGTTGATCTTCTGTGTTTCTTTCTTCCTGCAAGGCCGCTTCGGCAAACGTGCGTCAAAGGACGACGTTCCACCTCACCCTGGCGCGGCTCATCTTCACCACCTCTGACGACATGGTGGCCATGTTCGAGACCTTCATGGAGCCGCTGCTCAACGTCCTGCGGCAACTGGCGGTCGCCCCTACCTTCCGGCAGGTGTGGTGACGTCAGGGAGGCGGCGTAATTGATTGCTGTTCGGAGCGCTCGCGGGACGTGGTGTTCGAAAAATGGTTCTGTCTGCTCTACGAGGGGCGGCAAGAAGTAACCGGGGATTTGGTGCATGCCATCCCTCCAGAAATGACGTGCACGCTTGGTATCACGGAACCTCCCCCCGCATCGATGTGGGACAAAGCTTATTGACAATGATGACGTTGTTCTGGCGCTGTCTGTCTTCCGCAGGAGAGCGTGAAGCACGCCCTGATCGGGGTTTGCAGGGATTTACGTGGCGTTACGGCCGCTACGAACAACCGCCGATCTTACGGGATGCTGTTCGATGTGAGTCTCAGGATGCCGGTTGTTTTGTTGTCGTTGTCGTGGTTGTCGTCGTCGTTAGTGTTGCTGTCGTTGTTGGCTCTTGTTGCTGTTCCCATCCGTGAGGTCCCGCGGCCAGGCGTTGGTTCAACACTTGACATTTTTGGAGGATGTGCACTGCTGTCTGTAATATCTGTTTCCCTCTGCTTGTTCTATTATAGTAATACTACCAGAGTGTTGATTAGTACAAAAAAGTATTTACAAGGGGCCTACATCTTCGGCTGATTTCCGCCCACGAGCGGTTTTAGTTGTTATTCCTTCGTTATTCTAGAGTCTATAATAGCGGCCATGCAGACCACAGCAAATTGCACATTCGTACTGTAGATACGTTTGGGCCCCTCTTAGGCAAAGGTGGGAGTTTCGAATCCCTTGATCAGAGGAAAACTGCCAAAATTTACCGCCCGATCTGGGTCGAGAGTGTTCAACCGGCACCCCCCTGTGCAGTTAGGGGTGCTAGTCCGGCCTTGTATGCGCGTAAAAACGTGTCCGGTCTGTTCGAAATTTCTGCCTCCGGAAAAAAAAAAAGGAGTCCTTCTGACGACGCCGAACATCAAACTACTTGATTTTTGACCGCTTTCATGTTCATTTTTGGGACAGAAGTCCTTGCGCCCAGGGACATGTTGGGCCTTCACACTCTACACACTCCTGTGTACGGGCAGTGGCCAGAATACCATAAGCTCCGATTTTCATTTGGATAAAGAGGGAGCCGCGTAAAGAGCGAACAGCTTCCGATTTTGACACTTTTTGCTCCGTATCCTTTCCTCTCGGTGGAGTGTAGCTGCGACACGCGAAAATCGGAGCTTATAGTGCACTCACTGCCTTGTGAGTCGGAGCCGACAGCACAGAAGGAAGTAGTTCAATCGCGCACGCCGTTGGGGTGAAGTAGTGCCTCAAAAATGGCCACTTTTGCCCGAAATCTGGCTGAAGGTTCCGTCCGTTGGGCACGGACGAGCGGGGAAAAAAAAACGTCACGTCTTTTTTGGTTGCGAAGGCAACACAACAGCATTCGGCATGCGCGAGTTAGAGGTTCTGCTGCCGCGACCACCCTACGCGGTGACAGCTGGGTGTGCGTTTGCTACCCGCCAGCGATTCGTGCGACTGCTGAACTGGAGATGATGGGCGTGTGTGGAGTGTAGCAAAAAAGAAAAGCGAGCGCCTGGTTGCTGAAAGTCCGATTTTTTTCTTCAACTGAACTGCTGGCTGTTCCCTTGCTCAGCTACGTCCTCTCAGATGCTGCTGCTGGGATACAGCGAAGAGGGACATATATTGCTAGCACCCCCGCGCACGCACCAAGAACAAGTCCGTTCGAGCTCGTGGTATTTTCATCGTCTAGTGTGATCAGCAAAGCAGCAGGTGGTAAAGCAAAGTTGGTGTACAGCAGCAAGAAGACATAGAAAAAATGCCGAAAGGGCCAAAAGGCCGAAAAGAAAAGGCTCGCGGCACACCATCGCTGTGTGTGCCAATATCGCTTGCTTGACCTACGAGGCTAGACATCCTACCACAGGGTCAGGGACCACAAGATCCCGGCCTCCTTTGAAGGGGCACGGTGGCGGCAAGCAATGCCAAGCAGTGTCTCCTCTGTTTCCCGCAGCAGCATTTGTGATGACAGACGACGTTTTCAGTCCGGATGCAATGGATTCTTTTTTGGCCACGGACACACCGATCGCAGCAGCAGCAGCAGCAGCAACAACAACACAAGTCTCAAGCCTCCACGGGCCAAGCAAACTGACTGCTTTGATGGCGTCGCGCTCGTCACGTGTGTCTGTGGGATTCGTTCGCCACCGCTGGTTGCATGGTATCACTGAGGCATATATATATATGTGTGGCGTGCTTCTCTCTCTCGCTGACGTCCTTTTCGCGGTGCCCGACGACCGGTTATCGATATTTGGTTGGCTCGATCATCTTTCCATCTGGAAGATCCTGGACACATTTTGAAAAAGAAATCCTCTATGTTTGTTGGTCCATTAGCACCCCTAACAGTAGTACAACCCTCGTCGCTCTTTGCTCTCTTTCTCTCTCTCTTTCTCTCTCTCTGCCTATCTCTTGTGTCTTTTTTGTGTCCCTCCCTGTGTGTGTTTCTCCGTCCATGTGTGTATTTTTCCCTCTCTCTGTCTACTCTCTCTTCTCGCCTTTCTCTGTCTCCGTCTGTGTGTGCTCAATCTGTCGGTGTGTTTTTAGAAAGTAAACATAACCTCACAGAAAGACTACGCGTTCGAGATACATATAACCTCAGTCGAAAGGGATGTGGTGAAGTCTTTTCAGGAAGTGGATTGATGTTTTGTCTCTCTCTTTTTCTCTCCCTCTCCCTCCCCCTCTCCCTCTCCCTCTCCCCGCCTTTGCTTATTTCGGTCTCAATCGACTCACAACCCGTCTGTCGCCTCTAAACACCGAACCGCGATCTAACTATCCATCCATCCACCCATCCATCCACCCGTTTCTTGAAAATCTACCAGGCGTTGTACCCAGCGCACTTCGGGGTATTCGTGAGAGCGTCGGAGGAGTGGTCAGATAGCCCGGAAGCGACGACGTCCTTGATGAAGTTCATGATGGAGTTCGTCTACAACAAGGCGAGGGTTTTCTCCTCTTTGAAGCTTTTTTATGGGCCGGGAAGAGTTCCATTCGTTTTTGTGTCACGGACATATTCTCGAGCAACTGTTTTGATACTTTTTGGGGCTTTTGAGAGTTTTCTTCATTGTTTGTCTGCTTCTTTGTTTTTTTCCACGTTTTTTTTTTTTGTTGAGTTTCCTATGTACGTGACTGTATGCTGGCAACAGTACCGGCGCCGTCTTGGTGCAGGTGCTTGGAACTGTCCCCTCTGTAAGTCTGCTACAGGAGACCGGCCTTGTTCAGCTTGGAACGAGATACTGTAATGACAATGAGAGTTGATGTTGTAGACTTTTGTGCTTACGGGCTCTGTTATCCTAGGTCGAGGTTTATTTTTGATTGTATTTTTTCTTGTGGTGGTGGTGCTCGTGCTTGTTAGTGACCGTTGGCGTTTTGGTTACCGTTTGTGCTCTTCCTGCTCCTGCTGCTTTTGCTCCTGCTGCTGATCTTGTGAAGCTCAGCTGGGTGAGCCCAAGCTTGGCATGCTCCTACACCTTACTTGGGTTCATTCGAAGGATGCTGGTTCTCTTTGTGGATGACCCCCTCACTCCTTATCTTATCTTTGTCTTTGTCGTCCGTGGTGTGCTTGTCTTCGCAGGCACAACGGCTAGTCTTTGACCAGAGCAGCCCCAACGGCATTCTTCTGTTCCGAGAATGCTCCAAGATCGCAGTCGCCTTCGGAACGCGCCTCTTGCAGGTAATGACGTCGGTGCTGCTGCTGTTGTTGGGTCCGGAGCTTTAAAAGGTTTCGTGAGAGCACGCGTGGCATCGCATGCGCCTGACTGAGTACTCTCGCGCGAGTTCTTAGAAACGCCAACCTATCTATGCGTTGGTCCTTTACATCAACGTGCGTTTTTTCTTCAACTCCCCCCTACCCCGCTCTGTTTTCTGCGATGGTCCTGTTCGTCTCATGCGCTTTTTTCATCGACCCCTCCTACCCCTCCCCCCTGTATTTTGTCGATCAGCTCCCACCACCGCAGGCGACCAACGTGTACCGAGAAAAGTACAAGGGTATCGCGCTCTGCCTGGGGATGTTGAGCACCGCCTTGTCGGGGACGTACGTGAACTTCGGGGTGTTCACGCTATACAACGACAAGGTGTGTACGATCTACGAAGTATCTACTGTATCCTAACCCTAACCCTAACCTTACGAAGTATCTACTGTTTCCAAGCAGAGCATGTGTGTGTTCACGGCTGTGAGGTGTGTACGATCTTCTGTCCATGCATCTACTATTCGTTCTACAAGCTGAGCATGTGTGTGTTCACGGCTGTGTACATTTATCTATCCTCTACATCGCCGAAGTCACGCTTGGATTGGTTTGGTTTCGTATGTACATGACGTTGGACCGGTCGCCCCGGTGGTCTAGTGGTATCCTCGAAACCGCTGTTGGTCGCAAAGTTCGTGTGTTCGAATCCCCATGGAGAGAAAAAGCTACAAAAATTTGCGGGTGAAAGCGAAAAATAGCTGGAAAAGCTCTCGTGAGTATCAAACTTCGACAGAATTCAGCACGCACCGCAGGAGGAAGGTGGGGCACGAAAATAGAATGAAAGGAAGAAAAAAGCTTTGGTGTTTACCCCCTCCTGTGTGACCCTGGATGGTTGTAGTTGTACGAAAAAATACACTGAAAAGTGTAGTACACGTCTCACCACGAAAAGTGGGGGGACTGTCGCCATAATGAATAGGACGAAAACACACACGAAATGATGTTGGTGACCCTTCCCATGAGAAAACACGCAGTATTTTCTGGACCAGAATAATGTCCCGAACGATAGGACACCAAGAACAACAACGACAACAACAACAACAACAACAACAACAACAACAACAACAACAACAACAACAACAACAACGACAACAACAATAACAACCACCACAACAACAATAACAAAAACAACAATAACAACAACAACAACAACAACAACAACAACAACAACAACAACAACAACAACAACAACAACAACAACAACGGAAATAACACAGGCGCTGGACAACGCATTGGAGACGGCGTTGCAGCTGGCTTTGAGCGTGCCGCTGGCGGACGTGACCGCGTACCCCAAGCTGTGCAAGGCGTACTTCGTGTTCTTCGAGATACTGTTCCGGAATCACATCACAGTCGTCGTCGCTCTCGACACGCCCGTCTTCATGCGCGTCATGCACGCTCTGCACGAGGGGCTTCAGGTGCTGTGGCGAGGGGAGACGCTGATGGACAGTTTTAGGGGAGGGGGGGGGGGGAAGGGGGGGGTACTCACAGCCATGCATGCCATAGTGGTTCGACCATGATCTCGTATCCCTACGAAGC